CTGAAAACAGGCAATGATACAACACTAATGCACAAAGTGAGGATGTTATGTAGAACAACTGACGAGCGTTGTTGGAACAGTGGTATTTCTAATCGCTGATGACTGCTGAACTTCCTGGAAAAGCAGACTGCCTTGCCAAAGCAACCCTTCATGGGAAAACATGTCCTGGTGTACTAAGGATTTTGACTAAGAGACATTTTGGGTTTACCCACTTTTCCCTGAATGAGGGAAATGCATTTAATCCTTTCTGGGCAGACCGTCTCTGACAAATAGAATTATTGCTTCTCATTCCTTTCATCTCTTTGCTGTAGAGCCTGTACTTGCCTCTGGGCAATTGGAGTGGTTTCTTTACTTTAATCGCTTCACTACAAGGGAGACAAATGTAAAGTCAACTGTATATGGGTTTATACTTCTCATTCAACCTCCCTTTGTAATTTGTATTCTTCCCTCACATTCAGTATTTGTAGAGTCTTCTTCAATTAGTAAAGCAAAAACCATGTATGCTCTGTAATGGCACTTTTCATTTAGCTCAGTCAAGGCAAAAAAGGAGGGCTTTGGGAGCTGCCTTTCTTTTTATATGTTCACATTTGAATTAAGAGTTGGGGAATAAGCTATCCACTCTGTAATTGTGTATGTGGAAATAGCTTCTGCTTATCAGGTTATAGTACCCACAAGTATGCAGCATATATCACATATAGCTTACTTTCAAATGCTTCTCTTTCAATTAATAGAAAGCACAGTTAAAATAAGAATTGACCTGGATCAGTTGGAAAGTCCATCTACAGTGTCTCCTTAGTTGTCTACTGTGTCTATAAGCTGATGTCTACAGAGGAATAGAAGATCAGGGCAAACTTAACGGTACTTCCCTGAGTATCCTCTAGAGCATATTGAACTGGCTGTTAGTTTTTAAGGATTGTTGAAGATCTGAGGTAGTTCTAGTAATAATTAGTAGAAACTCCTAACTAACTGCTAAGAAATCAATAGCATATGAATGCATAGAATATGAATAGCAATAAATTCAGTGACTTTTCTGCCTGTTTAGAGCAGCAGATAACATTTGTACACGTGCAGGTTTGCAATGCGCTGTGTGCATCTCTTCATAATGCCTTTGCGAATCCTAGTACTCTGATGTGTGCGTTCTTTCCATTTGGTTTTGAAACTTTTAATTTTAGTAAAAAATCAAGATGTTTTAATATATCAGTTTCTATGTTTTATCATTGTTTATCAAATTGGCTTTTTAGAGTAAATAATAACTTAGTGCTGCTTACAGAGCAGTAATAATTATTTTGAGAAATTCTTCTTCTACATTGTGGCTTGATCCCATGAAATATAAATGTTTAACATCTGAAATCTGATGTGGTATATATGAGTAAATAAATCTAGGTGATAATGTGCCTGGAACGTGTCTCATACTCAATTTGAGTTCTTCTAGGAATGGAATACGAAACAATTGTAATAACAATTTTATTTGGTCTTCTAACTACTGCAATTGCCATGTAGAAATGTTTGAGCCTAATGCCTAGTATTAACTGAACTATTAAAAGCCTGAATTTTGTTATGTATCTCATATAAAGCCAATTTTTCTTTTTTTTACTATTAGTAGAATTGAAAACTTTGCAATGAAAGAAAGTATTTAAGCAACCTTAACAAATCATTTCAATGAGTCTTAAAATAGCAGAAAAATACCTGGTCAATGTTAATTTGCCCAGTAGCATACTACTTCTGATTTTAGAAGATAGTGGGTTGGGTTTTTTTTGTTTGTTTTGGTTGGGTTTGTTTATTTATTTTATTGGATCTTGTAAATTTTATACAAATGGCCATTTCAGTCTTTTCTGAGTTCACTTGGAATATATTTGTCATTTGACCAAGAGCCACACGTACTGAGACTTTGGAAGACTGATTTAAAACCAAGCCCAAACTCTTCACAATATGTTTGTTCATTTGTGTGATCCTCTAGTAGCAGAGAAGGAAATGCAGGCTGTCTTATACCTACACAATGTAAATGCGTAG